ATGTATGTATGTATGTATGTATGTATGTGTATATATATATATGTATAAATATCCACCGGCCCCCTTGCGGGGCCACCAGGCTGCGAGGGTGAGGAATGTAGCTCCCTGTTCCAGTTGCAGTTTCCAGTTTCCACTGTTACAGTCCACGCGCGAAAGGGGGGAGCCCCAAAACAACTTTTTTCACCACGCCCAAATCGCGTTGTCTGAATTCCTGGGGGGGCGTGGGACACGTACAAATACATGAGATTCGCGTCCCCGAGGCCATCATCTCTTTGTAAATTACCCATATTCGCGTCCCCGAGGCCATAAACTTTGGTAAATTATTCTAACGATCGCGTCCCCGAAACCAGAATCCCTCGTGGATTACGCCATGTTCGCGTCCCCGATACCATTCACCATTGTGAATTACGCAATGTTCGCGCCCCCGATGCCATACACCCTTTTAATTTACACCATACTTGCGCCCCCGAGGCCAAACACCCTAGTAATTTACACACATTTCGCGCCCTCGAGGCCATATCGACGTACATTACATGATGCTCGCGTCCCCGAAGCCATACACACTCATAAAGTACGCCATAGTTGCGTCCTCGAGGCCATACGCCCTCCTAGAGTACGCGAAATTCGCCTCCCCGAAGCCGTAAGCCCCTGCAAATGACGCAAGATTCGCTCCCCCGAAACCATAAACCATCGACAAATATGCAACATTCGTACGTGTAAAATATTCCGCAGTTTGTGAAGCCCCGACATTGCTCCACGTCAGCGTCCAGACATCCCAACGCAGCTCTGGCAAGTCCCATTCTAAGAGAGGAGGGCCGGCGGCATGGGGGTGAAGCCCTTACGGATATCTATATATCGATCTATCTATCTATCTGTCTATCTATACACTAGAACCATCGCGCGCGCTTCGCGCGCGCTCAAGTTCTAGCTAGGCTTCATGGGCGAACGCATGGAATACCATCCTCGTCGTTTCTTGCATCCAAAGGACTCTCTTCGAGGCCCTGCGCAAGCCTCCGAATCGCATAGAAGGCGAACTCGGAAAAGCAAAAATCAGTAATTGCCGCTAGGTAAACGTAGACAAAAACCATTGGAAAACAACGCTGTTACCCTCTTCGGGCTCTCTCGGGACGGCTCTCGAAGCTCTCGTGGGCTGTTTTGGGGACCTCGTCGGGGATTTTTTGGGAGCCTCTCAATGGGATGTGTTGGAGGCCTCTGGAAGGCCCCGGAGTCCTCTCAGAGGTCTCTGGAGGCCTCCTGCTCCCGCTCTTGGGGTATTTTGGGCCTTGCGTCTTTTTTAGTGACTCAGGGGTTCACTTGGTTTTTCATCGTGCTTCCCTTGATTGGGGACCTGCGAACCTTCCGAATGCCGCTCGCAAAAGTATATGCGTCCATGTCATGTCGCCTCCTTCTCGTCAAATATCCCAAACTACTCCTGCCCCGCAGTGCGCAGGGGTTGGGTACGTCGCCAGGGTAATTCAAATTCCTCGGTCTTGGAGCGTTGGAATCTGGAAAGCGTGAGAAGGCGAACATGATGGACCCACGAACCCGGAAAGGGATATAGACATGTGGAGCATGGACACGTTTTCACGATACCCAACTGGGCAACACCTCACGAAACATCCCACGAGACACTTCACGAAACATCCCACGAGACACCTCACGAAACATTCCACGAGACACCTCAAGAAACATTCCACGAGACACCCCGCGAAACATTCCACGAGACACCCCACGAAACATTCCACGACGACAGGCAACCACTCAACCAAGGCGGTGTGGTCGTGCTGGGGAGTGGTCGTGCTGGGGTGTGGTCGTGCTGGGGGGTGGTCGTGCTGGGGGGTGGTCGTGCTGGGGGGGTGGTCGTGCTGGGGGGTGGTTGTGCTGGGGCGTGGTCGTGCTGGGGCGTGGTCGTGCTGGGGCGTGGTCGTGCTGGGGCGTGGTCGTGCTGGGGTGTGGTCGTGCTGTGGTGAGGTCGTGCTGGGGTGTGGTCGTGCTGGGGTGTGGTCTTGCTGGGGTGGGGTCGTGCTGGGGTGGGGTCCTGCTGGGGTGTGGTCGTGCTGGGGTGTGGTCGTGCTGGGGTGGGGTCGTGCTGGGTGGGGTCGTGCTGGGGTGTGGTCGTTCTGGGGTGTGGTCGTGCTGGGGTGTGGTCGTGCTAGGGTGGGGTCGTGCTGGGGTGGGGTCGTGCTGGGGTGTGGTCGTGCTGGGGTGTGGTCGTGCTGGGGTGTGGTCGTGCTGGGGCGTGGTCGTGCTGGGGTGGGGTCGTGCTGGGGTGGGGTCGTGCTGGGGTGTGGTCGTGCTGGGGTGGTCCGCACCCTGTGATTTATCGATCGGGTCGTGCTGGGGTGTGGTCGTGCTGGTGCTGGGGTGTGGTCGTGCTGGGGTGTGGTCGTGCTGGGGTGTGGTCGTGCTGGGGTGTGGTCGTGCTGGGCGTGGTCGTGCTGGGGTGTGGTCATGCTGGGCGTGGTCGTGCTGTGGTGTGCCCGCTGGGGTGTGGTCGTGCTGAGGTGTCCCGCACCCTGTGATTTATCGATCGGGATTTCAAAAACAAGCGTTTCGCCTGAGACATCCTCAAATTTTAATCCGCCGGCCTCCTTCGACCTCGATATTTATCAGGGAAAGAATCCGCCGGCCTCCTTCAAGTTGGGCACCGGGGACATGTTTACATACTAAAAGAGAACCCTGGGCCAAAGCCCTTTCCGGTAAAAAAGTACACAAAAACCAATGACAATGAACGATTTTCCCTTGTTCGGGATCTCTCGGGACGGCTCTCGAAGCTCTCTTGGGCTGTTTTGGGGGCCTCGTCGGGAATTTTTTAGGGGGCCTCCCAGGGGGTTGGGGTGTGTTGGAGGCCTCTGAGGTGTCCTAGAACCCTCTCGGAGGTCTCGGGCGGCCTCCTGCTCCCGCTCTTGCGCTCATCTTGGGTCTGTTCTGGGGTGGTCTGGAGCTGTCCGGGGCGCTTCTTCGGCAGTCTTGGGGCCGTCTTGGCCCGTCTTGGGGCTGTCTTGGGGGCCTCTGGGGCGGTGTTGGGGCGGTCTTGGGGACCTCTTTGGCCGTCTTGGAGCGTTGGAAGCATGAAATGGTGAGAAGGCCAAAAACGATTGCACAAACCATGCACATTATAGATTTTGGGTTCTCCGGGCGCTCTCGGGAGGCCTCTCGGAGCTCTCTTGAGGTCTCTTTGAGGCCTCCTGGGAGCCTGGAGAGCCGCCCGAAAGCTATCCTGGGTTGCTTGGGAGCGTCTTGGGCAATTCTTTTACGTTCTGGGGGCTTTTGGGGTCGTCTTGGGCTGTCTTTGGGAATTGTGGGGGCTCCCCGGGAGGCTGGGAAGCGCGGTACAGGGAACGTACTCAAGATGCGAGCGAGGTGGAGGACGCCCCGGGAAGGGCCCGGCGTATTTGCTTATATCTATTATTAGAAATCTAGATGTTTTACCAGGGTGCATGTATACATACATATCTATATACACACTAGTATCATCTAATATAATAGAATGTAGTATAGTATAATATACTATGATACGCTACACTATAATATACTATGATATACTATTATATTATATGGAATTATGTTGTAATATATACCACATGATGGTATAATGTAATCTATTAGAACAGAATGTAAACATGCTGTAATATGATATACTGTAGTATAATCTATTATAGTATAACATATTGTAATCTAACAGAATATAACATGACAGACGACAATACATATTATAATAGCGTATATCATAAGGTACTACACTATGGTACAATACATTACACTACATCATACTATGATATACTGTCATACACTAATATATATATATATATATATATAACATAATATGATGTGTGTTAATATACCAGGATGTAATATAACATGCTATATTACAATATGATATGAAACAAGATACTATATCAAACTATAATCTACGATCATATAATATAGTAGACAACCATGAATTTATATACATACATGTATTTATATATATAGAGAGAGAGAGAGAAAACATATATAGAAAAACAAAAGATATATAAAGAAAGAGAGAAAGAGAGAGAGAGAGAGAGCGACAGAGAGCGATAATCGGCCGCCACGCACCACCTCTCGGGGGTTGCCAGAGGCGCTCCTAGTCCAAGGTGTCCCCAACTTCCCTGCCACTTTCGGCCCCAAACTTGCCTGCCATAGTACCCGTCCCAAACTTCCCTGCCAGAGGAGGAGGTGGAGGAGGAGGAGGAGGAGGAGGATGAGGAGGAGGGAGAGGAGGAGCCTCTTGCTGCCCCCACCGCCGCCGCGGCTTGGCTGGGCGCAATCCATCTGGGCATGGTGACGGGTGCTATGGAGGCCATCGCGGCTTCCCGTGACAAGCTCAGCACAATTGGCATACATAAGCTGTCGGGGGTCCGCGCTGCCCTCCGAAGGTTCAAGATTTTGGGAAAATGGGGCCACTTTTGGAAAGGAGCAGGTCCGCAGGCCATTGAACTCTCGTCCCCTTCGGGCACCTGTGGCCGAATGTTCTCTTTTGCTGTGAAAACAGACTGTCCATTTTCTTGTGTCGCCGGTTGGTTGAAGGCCTCCCAATTTGGGTCTGAGTAGATGGGGTCGGAGGATCGCGCCGCATCGCCGATGCATCGGCGATGCATCTGCGACGCATTGGCGCCGTCGGGGTGGAGAAAATCGGGCCCCACATCGAGCCGCATCGCCGATGCATCGGCGATGCGGTGCGCTCCTCCGACCCTGCCTTCTTCGACCCCATTTGGGAGGCCGATCCCGTGTCGGTGAACCCAGGCATCCGACGTCGCGTTGGAACCCCTTGCCCGGGACCGGCTGTTCGCCCCGAACAGTTTTATGACAGTTCCGGGGCCGGCGAGGGCCCCCGGCAGAAACAGTGGCGAAAACCATCCTCAGTGATTTGATCTGCATCGAGGGGATGTCGGGGCACATCGGCGACGCGACCAAAAGTCCTCTCCTCACAGAGCCAGCCGAGCCTCCCCGCGCCCCGCAGCGGGCGCCGCGGCGGCCTAGGACGTCGCCGATCGCGGGGCCGAAGCTCCTGGAAGCCTCCCAGGGCGGGCCCGCGCCGTCCCCCCTCCCCGTCGGGGCCTCTCGTCCTGGCCCACCCCGCCCTGCTTTTTCCCGCGGGAGGGGCCTATGCCGCGAGAAGGACGTAATTAGCAAGCCGGAGCCATGTGACGCATCCTGGTCTGTGGGGACGGTGCGGACGGAACACATGGAATAGAATAAAGAACAACTGAATAAACGTACATAAACTTTCGAAGCTCCGACCGGATCTCTTGGATAGGCGCTAGATCTCCCTCACGACTGATGAGCGGTCGAACGCCGACGAAGACGACGACGACGACGACGATCGACGACGACGGATGGCGACGACGGCGACGTCGAGAACACACAACTGATCGACGGTCTGCGACGAAGACCGACTGTCGGCTGTCGACGGCGGCGAGAAGGAACAAGCGAACGAGCGAAGGATGACGGCGACGACGCCGTCGCCGGCCGCCACAATCGATGGCCAGGCTCCTCCTTTGGACGCCCGAAATGGGTAGGCAAAGAATGGGTACAATGCCCGACAACAAGTGTTGTCCCAAACCAACAGCGGCCGCTGTTGGGCGGGCGGCCTCCTGTCTCAACGGGACACGGGCCGCGGCGGCGTGGACAGCGAGTCCTGTTCAAAATGAACAGGAACTGCTGTTGGGCACTGTGCCCATTCTTTCCGCACCCCTTTCCGGCGTCCAGATCTCCTGGCCCGGATCTCGAAGCGTAACCCCAGGAAGCATTTAAGAACCCCCCCCCCCCTTCCGGCAAATCGATAACCCTTCCGCACCCTGGAAGCGTTTCCTCCTGCCCCCTCCTCCTCCTCCTCCTCCTCCTCCTCCTCCTCCTCCTCCTCCTCCTCCTCCTCCTCCTCCTCCTCCTCCTCCTCCCGCGCCCCCCTCCTTCCCTCGGGGCCCAAGGCCTGTCAGGGCCCAAGTCACCTGTTGTGTGTCCGGGTGCTAAACCTATCGTGCGGTTATTTCGGCCCCTCGGAATATCGAATAAAAATGCGGTGCTAAGACGACGAGGGGGCCGGCCCCGAGACCCCCCCCCCCCACCCCAGGAGCGGAGGCGGGGGCCGTCCCTGGAAGGGAGCCCCGGGCAGGCCGCGGGAGCCCCAGGGCCTCATGGAGGCCCGCGGGAGCCTCCGCCGAGGCCCAGGACGAAGAAGCAGAACGTCCCCCCCCCCCTCCCCTTTTTGTGCCCCTTCCCCCCCTTCCCCCCCTTCCTGCTCCTTTTTGTGCCCCCTTCCCCCCCTTCCTGCTCCTTTTTGTGCCCCCTTCCCCCCCCTGTTGTGCCCCCTTCCCCCCCTTCCCCCCTTGTTCCTGCCGTCCTCCCTTTTGTGCCCCTTCCCCCCTTCCTGCTCCTTCCCCTCTCCCCGCAACCGCTCGCGTAACTCTTTGCCTGCCCATGCACCGTCTAAGCGCCAGCCTTCACTGAGTCTCCCCTCTTCGAGGTGGGGTTCAGGGCATCCGACGCCACGACCTTCTGTGACGCGGGAGACCAGATCACTCGACTGAGGGGGGAAGAAGCGAGCCTGAATCGGCGATACGTCGCCGATAGATGGGTGATCGGCCCCCGATAGCGGAGCGGCAGAGTCCTTGGGCGGGGTGGGCATGGGTGTGCTATCGGGGCCCCATCGGCGATCAATGGGCGATTGGGGGTCGATGTATCCCCCCCTGATCTGCGTTTGTCCCCAATGCCTCCCCCCTCATCCTCCCAAAATTTTGCCCCTGATCTGCATTCGTCCCGCACCGCTGTTTGACGGCCCCGGGCCCAGAAACGGCCTCCTGGCGCGGAAAGCGCCCAAGAACACCAGGCAAGGCTGCGAAGATGTCGTCGAACCCTTTGGAATCTGTGGCGGGTTCCGAAAACCAGCCCAAAACAAAGTTGTCCTTTCGGTGGGGGCTGCCCTTGCTTCCGTTTCCAGTCACTGCTCCCTATTGGCATTTGGAAGCTTCGTGGTTGGTTTCGGTCTTTCCCTACAGCAGGCGCAATCCAAAAGCTAGATCGGATGCCCTGCGGCGAGGGTGTGTGGAGAGGCAGGGCCCACGAGTCTACCTCGGCCCTGCCCCGTACGCACCTCCACCTCTGTGGGGGTGGCCTGCTCTGCTTCCGCCGCCTTCCGCCGGCGAAGCCACACTAATTTTGCTTCCGCCGCCTTCCGCCGAGGAAGAGATGCCAACTCCCTGGGTCCTTGAAGGCGATGCCATTTCTGGAGCGCCCCGTGCAGAGGAGTTGCGCAAAAAACTGCCAAAAGCTTGAAGATCGACGCCGAAACGCGTAACATCTCTAAACAGGAGGCCCACCATCACGTAGAACTACAATTCGCCTGGATGACGAAGGCCTGGAAGCCCTGAGGCTGAGGCATAAGACGCTCAGACACATCCATGTGAAACAGGCAGCGGAGTAGGAGGCGGAGGCGGAGGAGGGAAGGCGGCAAACCTCCAAACAGTCCAGGACCAGAGCATGGACCAGCATTCAACAGCGCGGCCTTGGAGATCGAAGCCGAGACGCGCCACATCCCAGGAAGCCCATCCCGCTCGCCGGCCGGCCCCGCGCCTGCCGCAGCCGCCGCATGGCCCGGGGGCCCGCGAACAGGCCCACCGACAGCGCGGTCGAGCGCGCGTCGACGACCTCGGGAGGAGCGTCGCTCGTCGCCGCAGTCCTCGCCATCGCCATCGCCGTCGTCGGTGCTCGTGGTTAGCTCAAGTGGAAGACCTGGCATGATTGAAAAGAATGGTCTCGACTCGAGACGGTCCACCAAGCGAGGCGACCTGCAAGCTGCAGCTGCACGCCCCAGCGCAGCGACCTTCCAGTTGCACGCCCGATCCACCGCCGCTGGTCAGGTCTTCCACACATCGACCGCTACGCATGCCCACTGCCCCTCGCCGGGCGGGCCCAGCCTGGGCCCAGGAGCGCATGAGCATTGGATGCGCCGCGGGGCCTGTGCACCACCGCTCTCGGGCCCTGGGCCTGGCCAGAAGCAGTATGCACAGACCTCGTTGCCTTACTCTTGCGAGGGGCCTCGCTCGTCGTCGCCGTCGTCACCATCGCCGTTGCCGTCGGTTGCGATCCTTGGTCGTCGTGAGCCGTCGTCGTCGGTACTTGTCGTCAGCGCCTTCTTCTTCTTCTTCTTCGTCGTCGTCGTCGTCGCTGGTCGTCGATAGTCGGACGTCGGGCATATCCAAGTCTGCGGACGCTTTGGGCCCTCGACGAGCCTGCGGGGACCTCCAGAGACGGACCCTCGGAGACGTCCAGGGATCGCCTCCAGAGACCTCCAGAGGGAGGCGAGACGACGGTCGTCGTCGCGGTCGCCGCCGCCGCCGTCGTCCTCGTCGAGAACGAGGGTGGCGGAGGACGGGGGCGAGGTGGAGGGGGGGCAGCAGGAGGTCCGCAGCAGCAGCGGCAGCAGGGGGGCGGGAGGAGCAAGAGACCGCGCGGGGGAAGCGGGCGCAGTCGGGTGGAGGAGGCGCAGGAGTAGGAAGCGGGAGGGTGTGTGGGTGGCGGGGGCAAGCGGTCAAGAGGAGAGGGCGGAGGAAGCGGGGTGAGGGTAGGAGAATGATACAGGGCGTCATGCGGGCGCGGAGGAGCAATCAGGAGGCGCGGGGGGCAGAGGAAGCGTTGGGACGCCGCGCGCAGACCGCTGCGACGCGGTCCGGTCTGCCTACTTATCCGGGGGGCGCGGGAGGGGGCAGGGAGGATGGCAAGGCCTGTGGAGATGCGCACAGACGGCCCTCTGACCCTGGCCTTCCAAAAAAAAAAACCCTCTCCAGACCTACAGTCCTATCTGGACTGCCTCAAACCTCGACAGGAATTTAGACGTCGAGGTCCTGATGTTATTTTTAGCCCTCCTGAAATGTCAGGGGTACTCCACCAGGTCCTGGCTGGCCTCAACTGGGGGGACTGAACGGCTCCGATACCGCTGCTCCCCGGACCTCCCCGGGTGCGTGCTCTGACCAGAATTTCGAAGCGAATCCAGGCGCGGCCACAAAGAAAGACGAAGCCAAGACTGGGGCGGCATTGGACTGTAACAACTCGGGGATCTCAGATATCTTAAGACGAAGCCAGGGCGAGGACAAACTGGGGGAGGATAAATCGAGAATCTATGGGATCTGGCGGCTTTGGAAAATCTCTCGGGCGCCGAACGCTCTGATACTGGGACGGATTCATTCTCGTCCCAGCCCCGTCCGATATCTGGCGACCCCGGAAGAAACATCAGGCGCCGCGGCCGTTCTAGAGCGCTCCGCAACGCCCCGAGACCGTTCCAGAGCGCTCTCGAAAGCCCGCCCGACGAGGGCTCTTCAGGACGGGAAGCGGTATCGAAATCTCTTCCGCCTCTGGTCGTCGCGGAGACGTCGTGTCGATCTTCGTCACTGTCCATCTAGGTCGGCGTCATTCCATGGATCATCCTTGCGAGTCGGCGACTGCCGACATGGGCCATGACCAAGATCGGCATGGACAAGATCCCGCGACATCGTGGTCATGGTCCCCGTGCTTCTTCCCTCGATGCTGCTCCGAGCAGCCCCCGGGGAGCTTGCTGAGGGCTGCCCGGGAGGAGGAGGAGGAGGAGGAGGAGGAGGAGGAGGAGGAGGAGGAGGAGGAGGAGGAGGCCGGGCGCAGGCTCAGGCCTTGCCTCCTGAGAGGGCCCAGGCCTTTCCCTCCAGTCCCGTGGGCGTGAGGAGACGCGGCCCGCGTCTCCTCACCTCCTCCTCCTCCCTCCTCTCCTCCTCTCCCCTCCTCCTCCTCCTCCTCCTCTCCCTCCCTCCTCCTCCTCCCTCCTCCTCCCTCCTCCCTCCTCCTCCTCCTCCTCCTCCTCCTCCTCCTCCTCCTCCTCTCCTCCGTTCCTCCAAAGGGGGAAGCAGCAGACAGGGGGGGAACGTATACCTGTCGGGCCCGCGGTGGCAGCTCGGGGCCCATCTGGGGCCCCTTTGGGGCCGCTTTCCTGCAGTCCTCGATCCCCCAGTTG